CCTTCAGTGGATGAATTACCATCTCGTCTCCGGTCTGATAAACACTGGATTGTTCAGGAAAAATTGAAAGAGAGGGAGAGTGAAAAAAACAGAGAGGGAAGAGATAGAAATTCATTTGTACGACTGCTCTGTGACGATCTGCAGGGCCATGAAGGCCCTGAGTGTTCCTCAGCCCTCGGATTCCACTCCACGGACAATGGAGCCAGTGTTTGTTCCACCAAAGGAAGTATGAGGAGAAGAAGAAGGAGCAAAAGAAAAGGGGAGGTCCAAGTGAAGGGGATTACGTATTGTCAGAACCAAGCACATACGCTCCCACTATTGTGACCAGTGAATTGCTCTCCAGTACCAGCCAGCCGAGGCCTTCGTTTAAACAGATTGTGTTTTTTCTTAGCACCGCACCATGACCTCTGTCTCCTGATGGCGGTTGGTGATAACTGGATCTGTGGGGACGGAAGAATCACAGCAAGAACCCAAACAACAGGTGGGTGCAGAAGAACCAGGTTCATATACAATCAGAGATCTTCATTGATTACATCGAACGCTACTAGTCTGAATAGGATGCAGCGAAAAATAGATTTTTCTTTTTCAGCATGAAAACAGGTATAGGCTGTAACCCACAGCAGCTGGGTCTTATTTTTTTACTGCTATTTTTATGGTTTATTGTCTGTTTTTAGCCCAACATGGAGTAAATGTTTTTGTGTTACTTAAACCAATGGATGTTAGCATTTTTGTAGAGAATTTTAACTGTAAAAACTGTGAGAATGTTATGTACTGACAATGAAAAATACTTTGAGGATTATTGTCATTTAATAATGCACAGGTCAAACAACCATTGCTGTAGTTTTGGGACTCGTAGACTTGGGACTTGAACAGTTAGGACTTCACTTGACATCACGTCATCAACCATTTTTGAACACATCCAATGGAAAAAATCCAACCCTGAGAGTCTTTTCTTGTGACTTGTGGCACCAGCGAACACCTGGTCAGGAACTAGTGTATTTCACGACTTGGACTTGGTAAACACTGGCTGTTGTATCTGCTTCGTATAAGTAACTATAGGTGTCAAATAGTTGAAGTCCTTGGTGATTTAACTTGAACTCGACTGGAATTTCCTGTTCAGTGATTTCTACTTTGACTCACTTACCGACAGACTTGAAATTTAAATTGTACTCAACTGTTTTAAACTTCCTTTCTTCTCAGACTTTGACAAATCTTCCCGGGAACAACTTGGACTTGAATTAAACCCGTTTGTTTTTTGATAACTAGCACTCACACTCCTAACCCTCCAGTCTTGACTTTAGACTCAACTCCAAGAAATACTGACTACTCGTACTACTGTCATACTACAGTGATCGTAGGATGTGGTTTTTGTCACTGATAAATGTCAGTGGATGCTCGTAATATTTTCCACCAGCGCACGTGACAAAACCAAACAAATTACTCACTAACAAGTACATGATATTTTGACAACTCCTGTCTCCGACTCATTTGAGGTTCTTGAATTAGGAGCCATTAACACGACACGTCAGGGTTATTGTTTTTACAGGAGTGAACAGTAAACAGCTCACGCCCCACCACATGATCCCAAATGGCCAATTAGGAACTCTTTAGTCTTGGAAGGTTGAGCCTAAAGAAGCGAAGCCTAACTGATGTTGTTGTTGTTGTTGTTGTTGTTGTTGATGATGTTGATGAGAGCTTTAATTGCATGTTTAGATCCATTGTCACTTAATGTATACATTTACACATTAACACAGGCACCAGTTCAAACGCTGCTTATCACTACAAACAACAGTTTGGTGCCACATTTGAATGTTTTCCTAGAAGTAGCCGCAAACCTGGTCTAAATATTACCTTAAATATTGTAATAAAAAAGTGAGTTTTGTTCTAAAATAAGAGAAAAAAAATTGTATAAAAGACACACACACAGGCAAAAAACACATTTAATGGTCCTTTAATGCCACCACTGTGCAGATGGTGTCACGGGGTCACATTGGATTCATTCACAACTTTGAATGGAGGCAGTTTTTCCTCCAACATTCGCTGCCTTTCCTCATTCACTCTGGCACATTAGACACATTTTAACAGCGTCCCGAGGCCACGGCTGCAACACAGCGACATTTTATTAGGCAGAACACATCATCACACGGGGACAAATAATGTGAGCGTCTCAGTGCATCTAGTGCTTAACATTGTGAGACTGCAGCTCATTGTCATTCTGTCATGTGGCAGCGCGGCTCTGTGCACTGTACACTGTGCACGCCGGCTGCAGGAGGTCTGCAGGAAATGGGAGGAAAAGCCTATTAGAGCTAATGAATGGCTGTCAACCACAGGCCACTCTGCATGTCCCACATGTCACAGAGGAGTGAGAGCCTCTCCAAAGGACCACCAATGACCAGGGAGCACAGGTTTACCCTTCTGTTTTCAGGAAATATTTTTTTAAACATTTATTTGTATTTATCAGAAGCGTAGCTCACCTAGCAGGAAGTCGACTCTGTGTTTAT